ATTATTCAATTTATATGTGAATTTTATAGCTGAAACGTCTATGCAAGAAGTTTAAATAGAAGATTAAGAGGTAAGCTATAGAATAAAGTAATGTTTATTAATTTACGCGTATTAATTTAGAAATAAATGATAAAATAATATCTTTACTTACTTAGGCGGTGTTTACTAAATATTTTTTCTTAACTTAGGCGGTGTTTCAAAATGTATTTTATTTCTTTTAGGATACTCAATAATTGTAATACGCTATGGATGGAGAAGAAATAGATTCCTGGAGTGATCTTAGTTAAGGTGATGAATGGTTATTTGGCCAATTACAAGAATCAGGACTGATGTCAAGGCATATTAAACGGAGTAAACAAAGTAGCAAAGAAGATAAAAAAAAAATTAAACTAGGTTAGTATTATGGGTTTGTTATGAGGTCCGCGTTTATTTTTTGTTATTTATGTTTTTAATGCAATAATTCCTATTATTTATTTCAGATTTGAATAAAAAAAATAACATTAATTCTTCTGACACTAAAGCATGCAATTCTACTAATAAATATGAAACTATTGCAACACCAATAAATGATCAAAGCTTCGGGGAGTCTATAAAAAGTATTACAAGTAGCCAGGATAATGTAAACACAATATTTGACCAGAACATAGACTTGGATAATATTGAAAACATTGACATTCACAATCTACAAGTTGTAGAAAAAGTTGGTAATGACTTCTTTGATCTGCAACATATACCACCCGAATTTGCTACAGTGACCATCGAGTATCCTCAGCCTTCTGCATTGAATGTAGCCAATATCTCGGTAGAATGTGAGAACGTTATACAAGAACTAGGAAATATTGACATTGAAGCTTTAACTACGAATACTCAAGACCCAGTTTCGGATAGAGTAATTAACACAGATGAAAATAAAACAATCCAAAACAATATACAGCAATCCAGCGACTCTGCTACTCCATCATGTTCTTCAAAAGTGGTCATACTCAGTAATGTTGCTTATCACGGTGATTTGTTAAGCCATAAAAAACGACAGAACAAGGCGACAAAAGATCCAAATAAATATAAACGCAATATAAATAAAGAATTACGGATGAAGGGTGAAAATTATTTAGGTTACAGAAGAGACAGAAAAGCAAAGATTAATGAAACATTTAAAGTGAAACAAGACGTATTTAAGCCTGCAAGATCCATAAAACCACCATGCACTTCTGCGTTTTGCAAGAAATCCAAACTCAGGTCATGTGACAACATAAACGAGCAACAGCGTAAATATTTATTTGAAAATTTCTGGAAGAACATGAACTGGGAGCAGCGAAGATCATTTATAACTTCTCACGTTAATAAAGTACCGAAGAAAGTTACAAAAAATCCAGAATCATCCAAGAGAACTGATAGTCGAACTTACGTTTTGACGATTGATAATGTTCGTCACCAAGTCTGCAAAAAAATGTTCTTGGCCACTCTTGGAATTAAAGATTGGTTTATAAGATATTGGTTGACAAAAACCGATTGTGCTATGCCTCCCGATGTGTCTACTTCAACCAGTAATCGTAGAAATCCAGGGAAAATTGAAGACCACATACATGTTGAAAAGTTTTTAGCAGATCTTCCAAAGATGCCGTCGCATTACTGTCGTGCTAAAACATCACGAGAATATTTAGAACCAATTTTCTCGAACATGACACAGCTCTATCACGCATATAAAGATAATTGTGAATTAGAGGGTAGAGAATGCCTTGGCCGTAAATTATTTGACAAATTATTTTTGAAACTCAATCTTAGCCTATTCCACCCAAAGAAAGATCAATGCGACGTTTGTTGCAGTCATAAAACTGGAAACATTACTGATGAAGAATACTCTCAACATGTTCTGAAGAAAGATCGAGCCAGGAAAGAGAAGGATACTGACAAAGGAATTGCACAGTCCGGAGCCTGTCACGTGTTCACACAGGATGTGGAATCGGTTAAATTAGCCCCGTATCTTCAAGCTAGTGCAATTTATTATAAAACTAAATTATGCGTCCATAATTTTACATTATACAATATAGCAACTAAGGAAGTAATGTGTTATTGGTTTGATGAGTCAAATAGTACGCTTGAAGCCTCTGTTTTTGCTTCATGCTTAGTAGACCATCTAGAGAAGGTTTTGAGTATAAAATTATTGCCTGTGGTTTTATATTCCGATGGTTGTTGTGCTCAAAATCGCAATGTTACCTTAAGCAATGCTTTATTACGTTTAGCGATTGAAAAAAATATTTTGATTACTCAAAAGTACCTGGAAAAAGGCCATACTCACATGGAATGTGATTCGGTACATAGTGCCATAGAGTGTAAATTAAAAGGTAAAGAAATTTACCTTCCACATCAATACATGGCTATAAGTAAAACTGCTAGGAGTGATCCTATGCCCTACGAAGCTCGTTATTTAGACTATAGTTTTTTTACAGACTTTTCGAAAGAATTAATTTATAAATCTATAAGACCTGGTAAAAAAGCAGGTGACCCTGTCGTCACAGATTTACGTATGCTAGAATACAGACCAAATGGCACAATTTGGTATAAAGTTAGTTTTGATGACGATCTTCACCCGTTACCACATCGCCCCACGCCAATTAACAGCATTAAACAAATAAATAGCTTGCAGAAATTGTACGCAGCTAGAATACCAATTACAAAGCGGAAGTATCAGGATTTGCAAGACCTAAAAAGTGTATTGCCATCTAATTGCCATTCTTTTTATGATGACCTTCCACACAGCAATCACTAAAGACTGCAACTAAACTAAAGACTAAATAATTTTGAGTATTTTTTATTATTTGTATTATAATTATGTTATTTCTTTGGAGTTTATTAAACTCAGATTAATATTTAAAATATTTACCTATTAATATAAAAAAAATATTATTTCATTTACGTTCCAACTAGAGGTTTCTGTATTACTAAATAACTTTAAACAATTGATCTCAACAATGTGATTCCTAAGATTTAAGATAAGATACCTTTTAAAGATAAGATAAAGAGTGTTAATTTTCTTGAAATATTTTTTAATTAAAGTTTTTATTTGCAAATCATCTTGTAATACCTTAATCCCTAACATTTTCACAAACAACACCGCCTAAATCTAATAAAATATCCGTCAACACCGCTCAAGTCATAAAATAAAAGTTAAAATAAAGTAAATCGTTAAAATAAGTATAAATAATTATTTCTTAACCGCTAACTAGAGTATGTACTAAGTAGCAATAGAAAAAAAACACAGATTATTTAAATTAGACAGTTTTTTTCGTCTCCTGTAAAGTTGGTAAAAATGACTTAAGCGGTGTTGTAAGCTAAGGGACGATAGGACATTCTAATTGCAAAACAATGTTTTCCTTCTACATAGCTACTTATATACTTAAGCTTAGAACTTACAACCTTAGGAATAACTCTATTAACCTTGTGTTGTTACTTTAGAAGTAAACATGCAAAAAACTATAACAATAGGTACCTACAAGAAAGATGAAGTGTTTAAGAAGTATTATTAGCAACAAAAATACTAAAAACTCTTTGCACATTATTAACATCATGTTACATTAGCATGAACATCATTAAACGGGTGTTCAAATGTATAAAATCACGTGTTTTCCATTTAAATATATTCTTGAATACAAATAGGTTGGGCAGTATTGTTATGTACCTAATGAAGGATGACATAGAGCCTTGAGGTAGATTGTCTGCTTACATGCAGTATTTCTTGTTATTCAACATCGCTTACCACCAGAGGAGATAAAGGCCAAACGTATGCTCGTCATAAAAAAAAATCGCAAAATACCTAAGTACATACCTACTATTCAAAAATACTAAACTGATGATTTTTTTTATCATCTCCCGCCTAGGTGAGGCGGGAAGGAGTGTCAGGCTCTTACTGACTAAAAACCACCCCGTACCTTCTCCTGCACGTCTAGCCGGAGTCCCGGTAATCCGTTAGGTTCTCCGCGACATTAAACTGATGATGTGACGGCAAAAAGAGCTAAATAGAAAGTACCTTAGAGCTTAAAGAAGAAAATGGGGGTAAACCCCATAAAATAGATAATTATCTATTCTTTCTGCCTCCTGTGTTAGCTAAACCTACTTATCTCCGAAATAAAGTAATTTGATTCATTTGAGATTAGTATGCAATCTAGCACGTTGTATCCAATCGAGATTCAAGCTTTGGCATTTGTCTTTATCACGCATCTCAGCTCAGAGTTAGTATTCCACTTGTACCTCTTATATCATTCCTTTGAAATCGACACCTATGACCTATACTTGTTATTCTTAAGAATTGCTTACGTGTTTAAGTATATTATAGTTTACAATCTTCGCTTACAAAAATCGGTCATTTACCAACCTCTTTGTAATTCTATCCGCCTGACTTTTGCCAATTGCCAATCAAAACAGCGAATCTGCCATCGTGACAAGCAAGCAAAACACATCAAAAACGTCAAAACAACACCAACAATGGAAACAGTAACAAACAAATTGTCCAAGTGAATTAATAACAAACTCTGCGTCTCGAATCACAATTCGCATCTCACGCGGGAATTGAAGCCCGCAATCTATTCAGAGCATCATATAAATTTATAATCACCAATGAGCATTGCAAAATGAAATGGGTACAAGGATTTGATTGGCCAGAAATGTTTCGAGACTTATTTTAAGGTATACATGACTTTCATTAGCAGCTAGGATCCTGGGGTACGGATAGGGCTATAGGTTTGGCTTCACTAGTGCCACACCCACAATGAGATCATTTGAGATATGTTTAAAATAGGTATCAATCCTTTGCCCCCAAATATTACTAAATCCTAAATAATACGTAGCATATGTATATTTAGTGGCAGGACTAGGTACGTCTTTGTTTACTTTAAAAAATTATATTAGCCATGCAAATGAACCGAAGTCAAGTATTCATTGCCAATTTGCCATATTCTGCGTTAAAGATAGAGAAGCAATGTTCCTAATATCTATCATTTTTGCAGGATGGAAGTGGGAGTCCAAGTGGTAGGCATAGTCCTCCGCCTACTAAACTTCTTCCTGGCACCACTGTTCTGGTTCCGCGCGAGAGACAGCCGTCGTCTGCCGCCCATCACCAACCCCGTGCTGCTCAAAAGTGCTGCAGAATTAGCAGCGTCTGTGAGGAAGGGTGAGGTAAGAGATTCCACTACATATTACAGAATTTGGAACTATATTAATTTACTTTCAATCCTTAAAAAAATCCTACCGATTATTTAAAATAATAATCCTAATTTATATTTTAAAAGTTCCCTTTGAGTAAATTGCTCTACAATAAATCGTCAGGAATATAATGTGGTCTTACGAAGTATTTGTAAAGGAGTATTTAATCTGGATTCCTAAACTCCATCAGACCATAATCTATTATTATCACAATCGGGCTTACATTTACTGCTGAACACCAATTGACACACTTGTAACATCCTGACAAAACGTCCATTATGTGACAACATAGCGACTGCGACTGCAATTCTGAATGCATTAATTGCAGTGACAATTGTCAATTATCAGTTTGAGTGACATAGATGTGTAGTGTGTGGATCTGATCGTTAGGTCTGATCGTCATTGGGAAATACCGGATTATTGATTAAGGGCGATGTGCTTCCTTCGAGACATATATGTTGCAAATTACAGAATTAGTATCACTTGTGTAATAATTAATCGCTGGTCAGACCATTAGCCATTTGTGTAGGGAGGGTATTATAATGCGGTGATGAATAGCTACTTGCCATTTTAATCCAGCCTAGATACTAGACGCTAAGTAAGCGATAATCTCTGTTTCTCCCGAAAGTTTGTCCTCCTAAATGCAAGACGCTGATACGATCACAGTTAATAGGAAATCACGTTTTTCGAAGTCGCAATTTCATCTAATAGTCAACATTTTACAAGAGTACGTTTTACAAGAGGTATAAAGATAAAGTCGTTAATTTGACGTTGATTTACTGCGCTCACTGTAGTGCCTGATTTGACTACAGATTTTATGCCTTGAACTGTAGCCAATTCAAGGGCTTCGATTTGTCCTGTACTGTAATGCACATAGGTACTTTATAAATATGCTTTCCTGTTATATTTCAAGCCATTGTATTGTCTAGCAATGTTCCATTACTATTTTAATTAATTTCGCAATACGCTGCTTAGTTTGATTGATAAGAAATGGTACATTTTTTTTTAAAATTGTGTATATCTTACTAATCACCGAGCACTATAGTACTCGCATCTCTATGTGCACAAGTGAGACGGGATACTGGATAGCATCGATCAGAAAGATCCTGGATATTCCCCTTCATCTTCCTTATAAGTCATTGACCAGAATTCTAATTTGTTGCCCACAGATATCAAGCGAAGAACTAGTGACAGTGTTCATAAATCGCGTTAAAGAAGTCAACCCGTACCTCAACGCTGTTGTAGAGGAACGGTACAGGGCTGCGATAGAAGACGCAAAGGCCATAGACCGGTGGATAGTGGATGCTAAGAAGAGTGGCTCCTTCGAAGAGCTGGTCAAAGAGAAACCGCTATTAGGGGTGCCATTTACTGTAAAGGAGAGTTGCTCGCTTGCCGGTAAGTTTAGACATTATAGTATTAACAGTATTGACATTAGTTAAAAGCTATATAAAACTTATTGATCATAGTAGTCACATAACATCGCGACCGTTGTGCGTAGAAATATCACACAATGACGCTAATTTAGGATCTGGAAATAAGTACATACGACATAAAGCGTTAATCGTTTTGTTTAAGGATATGAAATGACGAAATTAGATAAACTGTTAAGTCATCCTTTATCGAATATCGCCATAGGCTCGTCAATCTTGTTGACTATTCATTGCAACGTCCCAAATTGAAACACTAGCCTAATCTAAAGTAAATAAATGTATGGATTTATTTACCAACAAGCCCCTTTCTTATAACTCCATCATTCTTCCATTCTGCTCTTAGTTAGCTCAATGGCCATCTATTTGAAAGGCCATTCCTTTTCTTCCAGGTCTATCAAACTCGGTGGGATGCCTAGAGAACGCAGGTCGACGGGCCACCGCCGACGGAGGTGTGGTCAGCCTCGTGAAGAAGGCTGGGGCCATCCCTCTACTAGTATCGAATACTCCCGAGCTCTGCCTCGGCTGGGAAACCACTAACCTGCTGCGGGGAACTACGAACAACCCTTACTGTTTGAACAGGACTCCTGGTGGATCTTCGGGAGGCGAGGTAAGTTCTTTGTACTTTTCAATTTATGGTTTAGTTTGATGTCAGTAGAATACTGTTTAGGTACTGGGTCGCTAGTTTAATTATATTATATCTAAAGGCAATCCTTGTGAATGTAATACTGAAATTGGGAATTATGTTCGGACAGAGCTTATTTAATGTGTAGGAAAATATCGTGGCAGTCTTTTGGGTTCCCATGACGTTGGTCTTGCTTGCTTGACCTCGTTCTCATCGAGAGAGGGGAATTGTAATTATATGTCGATCGATGTGTCTCAATTTCATATAATTTAAGAAATGTTAACATATTTGTTACCTACATTTTTGTCAAATAAATTAAGTATTTCTGATTTCTGAAGAATATATCTAACACAAAATTCATATATGCAATACGCAATGATAATCTTCTTCTTCCAACTCGAGATTAACTCATGTTAAGTCGTTGAGAACAGCTGTAAGAGATACCTATAAATGGCACCTGTTTTAGTTATGTCTTATGTGTTTGACAAGGTACCTGACTCAATAGGAACTCGTAAGTCATATAGTAAAAACAAAGACGCTACTTGGTCAAACCGTAATGGTCCTAACTAATGTTTGTTATATCTATTATTATAGCCGTGCTACTATCTGTTACTATACTGTGATGTATGACGCAATACCTCCTTTTTAAACACCGCTGTCGGTAAAGCCATGCAGTTATGTAGCATTTTGTGTTTTGAATATGAAAATCCTTAGACCTTTATTGCCGATTTTTACAACGTCAGATAATTTGTAACAATTTTTAGTATGGGAGAATTGTCAAATGTTCAAAGTTATTCCTCAGTTAAAATTTATCTGGCGTTGGAAAAATCGACCTTAAGACTATATAATTCTGTCTGACCAACGAAACAGTATGTAATTTCTGTAAGACGTTATTACGTTTCATATCTAAGAACCCATCCTAGCATTTTCCTAGTCCTTTAAGTACAATGCCACGTTTACATAGGCACTTGCTAAGTGGTGTGTGTTCATAGTTGCGCAAGAGCCATCATAGTCAACAATGACATAATGTTTATTGGTTTACCGCGTTTCTGGAGTCAATGTTGCCAGTTAATTTACGTAAATGCGTGAGTCGGGTAATGATTTGTTTGTGTATTAGGTGAATGGGTAGCTTGAATAGTTATATGGTGCCAAGCATAAATGCTGAGTTTGATGTCAGTTAGCGGGCAAACTGTCGATTTCTCTTAATTAATCTTATAAGTGTGGGAGAGCCATGCTTCGGCACGAATGGGCCGGCTCGACCGAAGTGATACCACGGCCTCACAGAAAACCAACGTGAAACAAAGCTTGCGTTGTGTTTCGTCGTGTGAGTGAGGTTACCGGAGGCCCAATTACCCCCCTCCCTAGTCTCCCGAATCCTCTACAATCCTCAAATTCCCAATTCCCAAAAAGCCGGTTACGCACTTGTAACGCCTCTGGTGTTCCAGGTGTCCATGGGCGACGCCGATTGCTTACCATCAGGTGATCCGTCTCGTTTACCGGTTTATGCCATAAAAAGAAATTGATGATAAGTAAGCGGCCTGAGGACTATGATTGGCCGGCGCCAATGAAGCAACCAATCAGAGCGCCGAACGCGTACTCGTTACGTTTACTTTAAACGTAAAACCAACTTGTACTAAGGCCTCTGATCGAAAACGATTTGGTATAAAAAAATATCTATCTACTTAAGTACAATATGTGCCCAAACTCATATATGGTACTTAATTTTTTTATAAACTGGTGTTTATTTTAGTCCCTAGATTTAATATAAATGATGATGTTGCTAACGTGAATTTGACGGTCACTTGGCGATATTGTCCCTGAGAGACAAAGCTCATTAAATAATTAAAAACAATGTACAATATGGAGCTTATAAATAGCAATTAACAATAAGAAAATCTCGGCCATGATTGAGTAAAGTTTGCAAAGTCAATGACTTGGTCGGTATTTTGTACTTATTTGAAGTTAAACATGATTGATATTCTAAATGAGTCGACTCAATCAATAGAGTTCTGTTACGACTGTTTGACAATTATACATAGGTTAGCAACAGCAAGGTTCAGTATGTATTAAAATAGGTTAGGTTAGTTTAGTATTTACCTATTTAAAGCCCTTCATTAAAAGTATTAATGTTTTGTGTTCGTGTATTATATAAGTAGGTATTGTTTGTATGTATCAGGCGGCGCTGCTAGCTAGCGGTGCGTCGGCGCTGAGCGTGGCGTCCGACATCGCGGGCTCCATCCGCCTGCCCGCCGCCTTCTGCGGGGTCTTCGGACACAAACCCACTCCTGGTCAGTCTACATTATCTACTCATTAATTACTTAAATTACTTGTAGACTATAGCCTTAAGTGTATTAGACAAAAAATAAGCATGTCCTTTTAAAATTGCGTCCATAGAAAATAATTTCTGTGGATGCTATCTGCCCAACTAGGAGACGAGCAGAACCTTAAACAGGAAATATCAACGAAGTAAAAATAAACTGCAATTCTCAATTAAACTCTAAAATTTCAGACGATAAAATTCCCTCTCTTCAGAATTCTGTTCAGAATTGATGATTAAAATAAATAAATCTAACAAATATATCATCTTCCATATACCAGGAGTGATATCTATCGACGGGCACATTCCTACACTGAGCGACGAGCAGTTCCCGAAGTTCCTGACGGTGGGCCCCATGACGCGCCGCGCGGACGACCTGCCGCTACTCATGACTGTCATGGCCGGCCCACATAACTCGCTCAACCTCGACAAACCCGTCGATATGAGGGAGGTTAAGGTTTGTATCTATACATATAGGAAGATCATTATTTCTAAGAAGTAAGAATTAAGATGTTTTTTAACTTAAATAAAGATATTCGTACCTCTGCTGAAGAGCTAAATTCTGAAAATGAGTTCAATATGCTAATGTGATATCAGGGCATTTTGTCTTATTAATATCACATTTTTATTGTCTAAATACTGTATTAATGATTGACCGAAGGTGCGATATACACACAAATGCCATGAAATAAAGGTCATCTATCTAAACTATCAAAACTCTTTAATCGATTTTTTATTCATTTTAAACTTATCAACTAATAGGGTTAAAAGCTAATCAACAGATTACCGTAGCTTTTCATGCATGCCTCTTTAATTATAGGTAGGTACTGATTTATTAACAAATTTGTGAAAATTTTCCTCAATTTTAATTTGACTCAGGTCCACTACATGTTGGAAGCGACGAACGCGATGGCATTATTACGAGTGGACCGATGCATCCGCGACGCAGTACGTAACGCTGTCACTTACCTGGAGAAGGAGTGTGGCAGTACTGTTTGTCAGGTGAGAATACTATAAGTATTATTAACATGGAAGGACTGCAGTGTTCAATAGTGTATACGGTTGCTTACCGATAAGTCTACTCATTTGCCGCTCTTTCCCATAAAAAAATCAGAACGAATGACTAAGGAATCGATGTGTTCTGCCTACGTCAGTTTGAATTTACGAAACGTATATTTTTCGCTTGTGACAGACATGTAGCGCCATCTATGGGAACATTGACGAATACAATAGTCCATGATTTTCAGAATGTAATTTTTGTAATTTTTATGTATTTTATGTATTTATTTAATTTTTATTCCATTATGGCTTTACTTTTTCCCGGATCTTCTTTATTACTAAGAACTTTTTGCCATTTATATGATTATACACTATTTTAGAATTGTAAGTAATTTTTTAAATCGTAATTTTTATGTACAGGATAAATTCAAAGACTTGGAAGACTCAGTCGAAATATCGGTGTCCGTATTTTTTGCAATGAAGGACATTCCAAATCTGATGCAAGATCCCGCCAATCCGAAAGTAAGTGCCGCGAAACGGAATGAACTATTTTTTTATAATGTTGCCAATTTTATCTTGAACTATTTTCCCCATTTTGTGGTAAAACTAATATAGCAAATATGTATAATATTTGACGTTTCGATCGATTAGAACACTGTACAATGCATTTTTTATTTTTATTGTTTTTTTTTGTTTTAGCGTGACAAAAGTTTGGTCGTCGAGCTTATAAAATATATGTTTGGCGGTGGTTCGCGGTCACTACAAGGACTGAGCTTTTCACTTATTAACAGAAGTCATTTGTTCATACCTGAGGCACGGAGTAGCTATTATCATGCTAGAGCAAATAAACTGCGTGAACATATGGAGGTAAATAAAATACAATCGAAACAATAATATTTTAATTAAAACAATTTATTATTAAAACACGGCAAACGACAGATGTGTCTAACGAATTTTGTAGTACTTTATAACAAATTTACAGTAAAGTGAAAGAAACATAATATTTTGCGTATATTTTAGGGTTGCCATGATCACATTATTTGAATTTACCGCTCTTTTTCATCGTAATTTCGATTGCCATATCAAATATATATATTTCAAAAGTAACTGAAAAAATATCAACATAATACCAATTTGTTTTTCCAGAAAATTCTGGGTGACAATGGCGTGTTGATCTACCCAGTGTTCATCGGTCGAGCTCACCATCATAACCAGGTGTTCCTAAAAGCTTCAGGCGTCATGTACACCATGGTCTTCAACATCCTGGGCATGCCCGCCACCACCGTGCCCATGGGACTCTATAAAGGATTGCCTGTTGGAATACAGGTAAGGGATTCTGAATACAAAAGATTCAGATTTCTTGTTATCTTATTTCCTTTTTAGATAGATACATTATTTAATTGTGTAGTCATTCAAAAGATTATTAGTTAAGGATGATAATGACATGCTTTATCTTTAAATATTTACAATTACTTTGACTTCTGTGTGATTAGGATAACCTTTAACCTTGATGGAGGCGTTATATTTACAGTCTACATAAATTTTTAATAGCGTATTGTTAAATACTAACGCTTTATTGTCTTTTTTTATATTACAGGTAATAGCAGCTCCACATCAAGACAGACTGTGTTTGGCTGTTGCCAAACAACTGGAGATCGGCTTTGGCGGCTGGAAACCGCCCCAGTAATTATATCTAAGCAAAATATTAATAAGAAACTACCAAAATCGTTCATAAGTTCAACAAACCACATGTATGGCGTGGTTTATCTTTTTTACCAGAAAAATAAACTAGAAGTGTAATAGAATATTTCATATTACTTTATTCTATTTTGTACGTAAATGTATGTGATAGTAATCTCTATTTAAATTGATCGTATAATCGGGTACTTGACTATTTTTGAAATTGTTATACCTACTTGCATAAAAATATGAAATTTTCTATCCTTTTCTCCCGTTTAACGGAACATAACCCTATATGTAAGTAGTTGTTGCCTTTACACTCAAAAAATATATATCTTGTTTTCTACTTGTCATTGAACTTTTTAGATATTTGTAAAATAAAATAGTCGAGCACCCAATTTCATTAGAAATATCCTAGTGTGCAATTTAGGTCGATTTATTTCTATTAGTTATTGTTGCCTTAGCTCAGTTATTTAATGAATTTATCGTTACTTTAAGTCTGGATATAAATTAAAACAGTATTTTAACGTTCCATTTGTTTATTGAGCAGATATTTTTTTTGGATTCTAGGTAAATCTTCAAATTATGTAGAAATGTAATGTAATTACATTGTAATCTATTTATGATAGTAGTACCTATTGTACATTTTGTATGTATGCTAAAGTATAGATGTTATTATACGATGCCTAATTACTTAAATAAATACCAATGATATACGAGGTAATGGATGCTTATCAATTCTTTGTGATGGGTGCTTCTAATTATTTCACAATCAGGTACACAATTTAGCATCCCTTTTTTATTTTTGTTGACTTTTTATTTATAATAATAATAATTTTATTACCTAAATGTGCTGTGAGTGTAATATTTAGTTGTGAACTAAATATTAGTAACATAATTCTCGTGTAGATTTCTAAGTTGATCATTGTTCGCACTCTTTAAATTATTGTAATTGGCTGTAGCGAATGAAATAAATGAAATGGTGCGATACGTTCGTTTTATTTTTCCTCTAATCTTGTTTACTACCCATCCAACACATAGATCAATAAGTTCATTTATTTGAGAAATAATGGATATAGGGTTTATATAGTATTGAAAGCTCTATCCCGGTATCCTGTGTTCTCCTACTTTTCATACTACAAGATTTATCACAATGGCTAGGTGGTCGACTGAGATGCAACTTGTTTTGTAATTGATTCCAGAGTTGGACACATTTGCTAACGCCTTTTTTTTCAAATGACGCAAATGCACTTGGTAAGTACAGGGGTACCCTAGGGGTATCCATATACAGCTATACCACTATGTATGCAATATATGCACTATGTATGTAATGCAATTTCAATCCAATAAAATCTCAATCATTTTTCAATGCCAACACTATACAACTCCTATCATCGCCGCCGGGGCGAAACTCCGCTGCCGCGCCAGATAAGTGCATGGCGAGATGAGCTCCGCCGCGATCTCATAGCGAAATAGCAGCAACGACTGTCACAACCGAGGGCGGGGTTTGCTGCCATTGCAGCGGTAAGTCCCCTTTTTGAGGAGTGACTTGAGAGACACTACGGCATCCTCACCTACCGTCTAACGCAGGTCCTCACCGGACATATGAGCTTTGGGAGGTACCTGCGTCTGATAGGATAGGAGGAAACGCCCGGGTATCATCACTGCGAGGACCACCCTGAAGACACGGTGGAACATACGATGGGGGCATGCCCTGTGTGGCCTCAGGGCTCGGGTCCAGCCTTAGTCCAGGCCATGATGCGGAGCAAAGTGGACTGGGATGCCGTCTTCTCCTTTTGCGAAGCAGATATGCTTAGCTAGCATGACAAGAAAGAGGTGGGGCGCGTGAGGCAGCGAAGCGGTGCCTCCTCATAAACCAGCCGTCGCGAAGGATACTCTGGGCGTCGGGGATCGCGGTATGATCTGCGAACAGCAAGCATGGGAAGCTCGCCAACCGACCAGAACTAGACCCGAACGTACGGCGCGTCGCGTCTCGCGCGCACCTCAAAGAGCTATCAGACCACCATGGATGGGGCCCAATACGGCTGATGCCGATACGGAGCCGCGGAGGACTTAACAGGTTGCCGGGGCTCCGGCTCGAAGGGTGGTAGAAACGGGATAGTTTTTTGGTCAGTAAGAGTCTGACACTAAGGCGGGAGAAGAAATACGATGATTTTCCCCCCTTAAAAAAATCGTAGCTACCTATTAAAATAGCTTTCAGAGTACTGAATATAAAAACCAAACTCGGTACCGTTTCCTTCATTAAATAACCACGCCTATATGGATGCAATGGACGCTAGTGTTGCAACTCACAGGTACGAAAAGAGATTATTTCGGCTCCATAAATTTTTGGGACATTCCTGAAAGTGCCGCCAACGAAAAAAATTGTAACGTAACTGTAACGACGAAAAGTTAGTACCTAGCCAAGTTGCGATTTTTTAAATTTTCATCCGTAACTCTTTGAGTACCGTCAAAACCGCTTGGTGTTTGACAGTTTAACCATGGTTTAACCTTTGTATAGAGGCAAAAATTTGTTAGTGGAATTTCTAAATTAGCGTCCGATCCTAGTCGTAATCGTAAAAAAATATTCACTTATCATATCAGTGGTGCACTTACACTAAATTAAATGTTGTCATTTAAATTCACACAAAATTGGTTGATCGAGATGTAAGAGAAAAACGAATTAAATTAATTCCTTGCACTACAGAAATAATTTTCCAAATATAATAATTAGTAATTATGTAACAATTATTATTGTAAACCATTAAATTTGAATTTTATTAAGCATATACAACAGAAGCTGTTTCTGTATTAGTCATTAATTTGTGAACAAGTATAAACTTGCATTTTAATAAGATACTTTATTATATTATGTTGCAATATTGCACAATATTATGAAAACGTTGTTCAATAAATAAGAAAAACGAGGCCAGCAAAAATAAATTATTCAACTTCCTTGCTGTCATCGTACAATTTTAGTGGTAATTTTAAAATATTTCATGGCAACACTAAATAACGACGTTCTTTCGCGGTGCGTGCGACATGACGCGCCGGTGAATTTTATTATAAATTTGACGTAATTCTTCAGTGCATATCTCGAAAATAAGGTGAACTATTGCTAATAGTGTTATATAAACAGTGTTTCAGTGAGTGCATGTGTAAATAACCTGTAATATTGTGCTTGCAGACTTCACAATGGCCGATCAAGTCGACTCAATGTCAGATGCGGAGCTACGAACGAAACTTGCAGAGCATGGGTTTCCTATTATGCCTATTACGGCATCCACAAGAAAGTTGTTGGTGAAAAAGTTGAAATTAGTGTTAGACAACAAAAGTAAACCACGAGCTAGCGTCGATAACAAGGCCGACACAAGGCGGTCACTTGCACGCTATTCAAGCGGCGAGGAGTCCGATTTGGATACAACTGCTAATGCTAAAGAGAAACGTGGCCGCCGGGCAACGACCGGAGGGGCGATGCTGCCACCTGCAGCCAACAAGGCACGTCGCCCGCCTCCGAAGAAAGGTTCTCCCGCTAAACGGGATTCTGACAAAGGTTCCGAATCAGACGAAGAAAAACCTGTGAGAACACACGAAGAAGTTGAAACTGTGACCACTCGCACTATCAAGCGCACTTACGCGGCAAACGATGCGGACGACTACGAGACTGGCTCCGACAGCGATGTTGACGCCGACAAGAAGACATCTAGTCCTTTCCGAAGCAATTCTAGGTCAAGTGACTACATCTCTAGCACATTACCAAGTGTTGATGTCAACATTAGTCCCCCTAAGACATCAGTGTTCTCCCGTGCATCCATCATACCAACAAACTATTCATCTACATACTCATCCGGTATGACTTCTTCTGATAATCTCAATTCAATACGATCACGGTTAGGTTTAACATCTTCATTGGCAGATCGTCCATCTACTATTCCAACTTCTAACTATAGCTCCAACTATTCAACAAGTACTTACCAGCCATCTACTTCTACTATTGATGAGGTAGAATCTCCATATTTAAGTAACTTCACAAGACGTTTATCGGCACTTAAGTCGGATCCACCAAAACCTGCATCATCTTATCTTGACCGTGACACCAACAATGGAAGTACTGTGTTGCCCCGCAGGTCTTACATCACTGGTGTGAACCGTTCTGATATAGTAGATTATAAATCTGCTACAGACAAGAAATTTTTGAAGAATAACCTTGTTTCACTTGCTCTGGTTGTGTTAGTTGCACTTTTTTTTTTTTGCTTATTTTTCATGTATATAGTTAAGAAAAACGACATCACATCAGTGGTGGACGATCAGAACAGTGTCATACCAATCTGTCAGTTGAACATACCTGGCAATCGACCAGGTATAAATTGTGTGCCTAAAGAACAAGTCAGTTATGCTAAAGATCTCCTCAAAGTCATACACCCTGAATTAACTAGTCGAATAGCATCATACAAATGTGGTCAGGCAGGAACACTGCCTTATCTCACAGAACGGGAAATAATTGACATTGCCAGTGCCAAGGCAGATACCCATGATGTCAGCCAGTGTCGCACTGACCTCAATAACTTGCAAGTTCTTCTCATAAACAACCCTCGCTGGGGACTGAATGTGGTCCAGTTGAAAAACCTTTACACAAAAGATATTGAGTACTCTCCAATTGCTTCTACTGACCTGATTGTCCAACAAAGGACTAAAGGTACAGTTGCCATCACACTCTCAGATCCATCAACACCTTTGTCATGCTTATTTGTCAACACTTTGTACTCTGCTGGGTCCAGTCTTATTGTAGTTGCCCTTCTAACTTTACTTGGCTTAGGCCTTCAAAGAGCTTACAAATATTATGTGATGTATCAGAAGAGAAAGAGTGAAGAGATCTATTCTATGGTTGAACAAATTATTGATGTGATATCTCAAGAGACTGAGGATAGTGGAGAACCATACATATCTGTGGACCATGTGAGGGATACTCTCATCTCACCTCAAAACAGGGAGAAAATGGCTTCTGTTTGGGATGCTGCCGTCAAGTTTATTCAAAGGAATGAGAGCAGAGTGCGCATGGAAGTACAATCCGTGGACGGAGAGGATTGCCGCGTCTGGAGGTGGATTTCTGCCCACAGCAGCCCAAAACGCAGTGCATCGTGGCAAGGCCAGGCTTTTGAAACTCAGGAAGGCTCTGTTAACAACTTAGTAGTCTCTCCAACTCCCTGCCTCAAAATTCGACACATGTTCGACAAAAACGACGACAACCCTCTATTGAGGGTGAAGATCCAGGACGCTATTTTGGAAAAATGTGACACGCACTGCAACATCCTGCACATCGACATCGACCGCACGTCGTGCTGCGTCTACGTCAAGTGCGCCTCCCCGGCCGACGCCGGCGTCGTCTACCGCAGTCTGCACGGCTGGTGGTACGAGGGCCGACTCATCACCGTCAAGTACTTGCGCCTCGAGCGCTACATGCAGCGTTTCCCCACGTCGCCGTCTACCGGGCCCTACCTCACGTTGACCCGACACCCGCGCCGCGGTCTCTGGCCCGATGAGTAGACCTGACCTACTGGCTACCGGTGCAGCGCCACTTCGGGGATGTTATACTTGTGTGTTACGGAAGTTTCAGAACTTTACCTGAATGCTTCATTATTTATTGCGAGTAACTTTCAAGGATTGTTGTCTGTAGCTCAAGTTCATTTCATTGCATTTCTTTCGGGTTTATAAAATGATGATTGATTTGCCAATGGCATAGGTAAAAATGTTAAAGATTGCATGCATATTGACTATAAATTAATTCGGTTTTTGTTTTCTAACATATTTTCATAATAAATACACTGCATAATATTTGTTCATTTGTATTTCTCCCATTTACTTCATATTAGATTGATATTGGTAATTTGAAAAGTGTTTTTAAATAGTCATCTGGTTTGTACGAAGTCTTGCCTGAAAACGTCAATGATTGTAATAATATATTGTACCTGTGTTATATTTTGTTATTATAAACTATATCCCAAATACGGGCCACGCCCCATAACATGTACTAAGCTTAAAATACTTGTACTTGTCAATTAAATTGTTTAAGACTTCGGTAGTCACTGATCTGATTTATTTCCTTAGGTGCTGGTCTTAACTTAATGCCTTAGATTTGAAGGAAAAATGTTTTTTCAATAGTAGTAGCAAATAAAATGTTCTCTTCTGAATTGTTGTAAATATTTCACATCACATGTTTCAGATGTATTTCTACTGTTTCGATTTAAGTTACGAAGTTTCAAGGGCTTATATTTGTTATTGAATTTACTGATGTTTTGGAACAAATTGTTTAAAAAAATGATAGTTTTAAGTAGGATAAGTTTCATAGGGTATACCGACGCATACACACATTTGGTTTATTTTCTTATATCATAAGTATCGACGCGACAGCACAACGCGAGGAGACCTAGGTGTGTTTTAATTTCGTATAAATTGACATTTTGTTCTTAAGTATTTCTACTAACTTCACTATACTTAATATCTAGTTATTTTTATGGATTGATTTTCATTTTTTAATAAATTGATTAAGTAATTACTTGTTTCCTTTATCTCGAAAATTTTAAAAAGATATCACTTATTCCACTCGGAAGATTAAGTCTAATTGCACAATCATGATAGCCTCACACATTTTTAAGTTTTATCAGACTTCAAATTTCATACCTTTTTTATCTCAATCTGTTGTTTCAAATAAGAACAATATCTTAACAGAAAGTATCAAAATAGTTACGAAAACAAAACAAAGAAGACATACAGAAATGATTTTAATAAACATTATTTTGCATAACTTATCTAACTATAGCCTTTATTCAACAATGTTATAAAATATCTTAAAAATACCATGTTACGAGGAAAATGTGATGTAGTGCTAAACTAGTAGATAGCGTTATTATTAATTGTATTTAGTAGTTTAGTATTTCAGTGAGAGCCTGGTAGCACCGCCACTTGTCCGGGAGGTAGAATGGTTCGAAGACGTGAGGGAACGGAGCGTCCCAGCCCGTCACGCGGGCGATAGGAGCCTCCAGGTGTAAGAAGCACTCCTCCTGTAGATAGACGCAAGTGAACGTGAGATACAAGGAGTCACTTTTTTATTATTAACAGACTTATCTTATCGAAAATAAATTATTTTGACTGTTCAATACACATTACATAACATCACACCTTTTATCCTCGAAGGGGTAGGCAGAGATGCACATTATGCCACTTTCACTATTTATGTTATGAGTCCCATGTAATAGGGAATGAACCTTTTGCCATATACCGGGCACAATTCCAGACTTCTACTACTGAGAATATTTTAAAAACCCAGTAGTACTTTACCGCAACCGCTCTGCCAACGAGGCAGGCAATGTTCAATACAGTAAAATGTAAAAAAATAATCACACTTTCATTAATTGCTTTTATGACCAACAAAATTTTAGTATTTTTTCAACTAATTTTTAAGAAATAAGTAAGTATGCTATACACAATCTTGTACAAAATTCATAATGTCGTTTTTCACAGTTCGAAAGAAGTATTGAATTTGACTAGTTGGCAGATACCCAATTGGTCAATCTGTACCTTTATTATGTTAGTAAACATTCACGACAAGTCTGAAGCAATAATTACCTGAATAGTAGCAGCTAGTTCAGCTCCAAATCCTGATGTCAGAGGTGCTTCGTGAGCGATGAGACAACGACCAGTTTTCTTTACGGACTGAAAAAACAAGTTTCGTTACTTGGATACATCTCAAATTCTAATTAGATATTTAAAACAAATAATTCTTATACGGATAACAACGGCGAGAAGCATTGCGTGGTGTATCGTCACATGAAAAGGCACCGGGCATCTAGTGTCGTGGTTTTTTTATGGTATAAGCCGGTAAACGACCTGACAGATCACCTGGTGGTAAGCAATCGGCTCTCATGGACACCTGGAACACCAGAGGCGTTACAAGTGCGTTACCGGCCTTTTGGGGATTAGGAGTTTGAGGATCGTTACGGATTCAGGGATTGGGGATACTTGGGAAGGGGAAGGGGGAGGTAGTCTGGAGGTTTAAGAAGCCCGTTTCTCATATGCATGAGAAACGGGCCCCTCATGGGAGGGTGCATGTTCGAAGCCTACAATCGGCAAGTACCAATGTGAATTTTCCGAGATGTACTTTCTTAGATTATTCAGACACTACTGACAAACGCTGAAAGAAACATCTTGAGGAAACGGCCTTATAATTTCTGATTGTAAGTTTAAAATCGCCAAGCCGCATTGAGCAAGCGTGGTGATTAATACTTAAACCTTCTCCATGTGAGAAGAGGCTTTGTTCAGCAGTGAGGACTTATAGGCTGTTGAGTGTTGATGTCATGTGGGCATCTAACTTTTCTAGTGTTGCGGGGAACATCGACAGCGCCGATTGCTAACCATCAGGTGATCAATCTACACCTATCCTACAAATAAACCAATATTGCAGTAAGTTGGATTATGTATTTAATTTTTTTTTACCACATAATTGTTTCATGATATAACATAATAATCATTTTAAAACCACGTTTGATAATCGACTTCAGTTTTCCAACTTCCGCTTTTCTTGAAGTCTTATATTAATATATTAAAATCTCCTAAGTATAACAAATACTTATCTGAAAACCGCATCAAAATCGGTTCAGCTAATCGCGCAAAAACCTACATACAGGTCAAATAGCGAACCTCCTTTTGTTTGACGTCTGTTAAAAATCGTTACTTAATATTACAAATCGGAAAGTGAGTTTGTTTATTTGTTTGTTTGTTTGTTCCGCTTTCACGCAATAACTACTAAATCGATTGCTTTGAATTTTTGCAGACGTAAAGTTTGAAGTCCGGATTAAATAATAGGGTACTTTTTATACCGGAACAAATTGATATTCCCGAGGGAAACAAAAGTATTCGTATAGATGGCGCTGTATGTATTATTATATATCACATATAGGCTACTTTTTATGCTTTTGTGACGCGAGGGAATCTGCGGGTAAAAGCTAGTAATAAATAAGTGAATAGATACTTACGTTACAGACAGTGTCTTCGTCCCAGGGCAGGATGGACTGTAGGTCGATGACGTCACAGCGCGCCCCGAGCTGGGCCTCGGCCAGCGCGGCCACCTCCAGCAACACGTGCACCTGCGTGCCCCACCCCACCAACGTCGCCGCCGAGCCTACAGGGGGGGGGGTTGGATGTGGCTTTAGTTTAGTTTTTTGTTAAAACAGACGTTGACCTAAACTAGGATTCCCTCCTATATCGTGGGTGCGTTTACAAACATACACGTTCACATACACATGACACCCAGACTCGGAACAACAATCTGCGGATACAAAGAAATGTTCCGTGTGGGAATCGAATCCGCGACACTTTACGTGGCAGTCAGTGCGCAGCCACCGCGCCAACCGTGCAGTTAGAAATTAATAGTTTAAGTTTTGTTAAGGGGGGAAAATCGAAGAGAGTATCAGACTCTTACTGACTAAAAACCGCCCCGTTCCTACTCCTGCACTTCGAGCCGGAGCCCCGGTAACCCGTTAAGTCCTCCGCGGCTCCGTAAATTAATAGCTTAGCTCTGTCAATTCTTTTTTCATCACACTTCTATTTTGTTGTTATTACTAAATAGGCACATCGCCATCGCACATCGAAGATAATACGCTTTTTTATGAAGGATTGAAGACCAAACCGATTCAAAAAGAGCGCAGATACCTCATTGATTGTTTTTATGTAGGTATGTCCTTGGTTATCAATCTTATAATAAACCAAAGCAAAAAAAAATCGAAGTTCTCACCTTCTCTCAAGACCTGAGCCTTGCCAAGTGGTATGGTGTAATCCTCGACTGGAACCTCTTCAGCAGCAGATCGGTAGAGGATCTTAGGTTCCAGGAATACGCAAGGATCCTTCTCTCTGATGCACGATAGTAGCAGACCTTTAGCTGTGATTGGACCACGGGGCACTACCACCTAATAAGTTTATTACATATTTTAATTCATATAATATAAAATGAATCCCTTTTTCCCTTGGTCACAGCATCACGCTTGAATGGCTGGACCGATTTCAAAAATTCTTTTTTTATTGTACCTCTATTTGTTTTTTATTGTTGTATTTTTATTGTAAACCGGGATTGGCGTACGAAGGCAGAGGGCAGAAGCTAGTTAATTATGAATTCAACATAAACATCATTCCTAGACTTCGAACAATAATTATAGATTTGTTCCGTGCAGTAATTGAGTACGCGATACGTTGTGAACTTGTGAATATGCCTAGTCACTGCGCTAACTATGCATACTTGGCCGCACTGCCCGCAAGCCATTGGGACAATATTTTAAATTAATCTTACCCTAAGTCCAGGCACATGTGCGAAGAAAGCCTCGGGGCTCTGTGAGTGGTACAGTCCACCGTGTCCCACGGCACTGCACGGAGTCCGGATGGTGAGCGCTCCGCAGTCAAACTGGCCCCCCGAGCGGTAGCGAGCCTTCGCTGCTTCGTTTACTATCTGCAAATGAGTTATTACCGAAGTTATGCTTATGATTTACTTGATGAAGTAGTGTTAGATATTAAGTTGAGTATCTTTCATAAATTGATCAAACTAAAACTTGATGGTCAGCACTTGTGACCATGAAGCAAAATATCTGCTTTGGTATTTTAAAAAATGCCTGCCTCGTTGGCCGCATGGTCGCAAGTACGACTGCCGAGCAAGATGTCTCGGGTTCGATTCCCGAGTCGGGCAAAGTATTACTGGGTTTTAAAAAAATCTCAGTAGTAGCACGGAGTCTGGAATTGTGCCCGGTATATGGCAATAGGCTTACCCCCTTTTACATGGGACTCATAAGATAAATACTGAAAAGTGGGTGTTACATTGTACAGTGGTATAATGCTTCTGCCTACCCCTTAGGGGATAAAAGGCGTGATATTATGTATGTATGACGTATGTATGTCTTTTAAAAAATGTCACCAACGCTTAGGCACTAGGTGGTATAAATCATAAACATAGTCATACTATGCCTCGAGGTGGCGCTCCACAAGTCCGAGGCCATGTGTTTTCATGGCCGCGGGAACGCGCCACCTCCGGGTGGGTCCCAAATAACGGCGGGAGGGGTTACCATCGGCGTCGAGACGACGATGAAGTACCTGGGACTCGTCCTCGACAGTCGGTGGAACTTCGTGGAGCACTTCCGACGTTTGGCTCCAAAGTTGGCGAGGGCGGGGGCTGCGTTTAAACGCATCCTCCCCAACCTCGGGGGGCCAAACGCCTCCTGCCGGAGGTTATACGCCGGGGTCGTGCGGTCCATGGCCCTCTACGGCGCCCCTGTTTGGGCGCCTAACCTGTTGCGGCGTCCCGCTCGGACGCTGCTCATGGCACAGAGGGTCATGGCGATCCGAATGATCCGCGGATACCGCACGATCTCTGGGGAGTCGGCGAACCTCCTTGCCGGATTACCGCCGTGGGATCTGGAGGCGAAGGTGCTCGCGCGCGTGCACAGCATGCGCGCGGAGGCACGTCGCCGGGGCGAAACTCCGCTGCCGCGCCAGATAAGTGCGTGGCGGGATGAGCTCCGGCGCGATCTCATGGCGGAATGGCAGCAACGACTGTCGCAACCGAGGGCTGGGCTCGCTGCCATCGCAGCGGTAAGTCCCCTCTTTGAGGAGTGGCTTGAGAGACGCTACGGCGTCCTCACCTACCGCCTGACGCAGGTCCTCACCGGACATGGAAGTTTCGGGAGGTACCTGTGTCTGATGGGGCGGGAGGAAACGCCCGGGTGTCATCACTGCGAGGACCGCCCTGAGGACACGGTGGAACACACGGTGGGAGAATGCCCTTCGTGGGCTGAGCACCGCCGTGTCCTCAGGGAAGTGATCGGCGATGGCGACCTCTCGCGTCCGGGCCTAGTGCAGGCCATGATGCGGAGCGAGGGGGATTGGGATGCCGTCTCCTCCTTTTGCGAAGCAGTCATGCTAGCTAAGGAGGAGGCGGGACGCGTGAGGCAGCGAAGCGCTGCCTCCTCGCAACCCAGCCATCGCGAAGGACACACCGGGCGTCGGGGATCGCGGGACGATCTCCGGCCACCGTAAGCGCGGGCCTGCGGACGGCGTGCATGGGTGGCTCCCCGTCCGACCAGAAACAGACCCGAGCGTACGGCGCGTCGCGTTCCGCGCGCGCCTCAAAGAGCCATCAGACCACCACAGATGGGGCCCAATAGGGCCGATGCCGATTCGGAGTCGCGGAGAACCTAACGGGTAACCGGGGCTCCGGCTCGACGTGCAGGAGAAGGAACGGGGTGGTTTTTAGTCAGTAAGAGTCTGACACTCCCTTCCGCCTCACCGCTAATGATAAACAATTAAGTAGGTACATAACATCAAACATGTAAACAGTGTTTTGCACATGTTGCAGCAATTACAATAATAGTAGAACATGACTAAATTGTTATTACGCATCATAACTCTGTATTTTGTAAACAAGTTTAAAACTATTACTATTAATTGATATTTATGAAATAACATGGAAGAATGTCGTGATCGTTTGTTAATGCAGAAAAGTAGAAAACTTAATACCATAGTAGGTACTTAACTTATAGGTACTTAATACTTATTTTTAGGCGGTACAAAGTTCGCCGGGGCAGCTAGTTGTAGAGCTAAAGAAGTCAAAGTCAAAGTCAAAGATCTTTATTGTGAGACAGTGGTTACAAAGGTTGTTCTAAAGGTTGTTTTATTGTGATGTGCACCATGTTAGGCATACAATAGTTTGTGACAAAGCATATAAATTGCAGTAGCTATACATTATAATATTAAATACTGATTGAATAAAGAAACTTGTATTAATTTCATTTTGCATCAAAACATAAAATGGCGTTTCAACTGTTAACGAATCTGTCAGACAAAAATTCATGCAATGTATAATAATATGGTCTATTTACCAGGAAGTCAAACATTTTTTTCTTAAAATAGTCTACCCTGTCAATTTCCCTCATTTGTCTAGGAAGCTTGTTATAAATTCTTGAAGAAGTCAATAGTGAATATATAATTATGCACTAACCTGGTCAAAAGCTGGGAATATGTAATCAGCAAACTGTATCTCCGCAATAGCAGTAGCTCCGGCTGTGGCCAGTCCTATACCGAACCCTGCGATGCCCTGCTCACACAGCGGAGTGTTGAACACACGGTCCTTGCCATACTTCTCCTGAAATTATTGGAACAGAACTTTAATTGGTTGATGGTTTTAAGTCTTAACAACATTAAAGTTGATTGTTTGGTAATACTATTTTTATTACATTATTGATAGAAAGAAGACAATAACTTAATAGAGTGCATGGTTTTCTTACTGCTGGATCAAACCAAAAGACAATGCAACTAGACTTCTTCCTTTTGGCTAGCTATAACTTATAAGACAAAGGGTACCTATGTTTCCTAATGTCTGATTCTGATTAAGTTCTATCTATAAAAAGGTAACAGTACATTATGAAACAGACTTTCAATAATAATATTTAGACTTGTAAATAATACTCTCTATCACATCTATTGTAAATGGATAGAACATGAATCTCATAAAAAATATTACCTGTAATCCAAGTGCACATCGGAAGACCCCACCGAAGGCTACGTCTTCACCAAACAGTACAGCCGTGGGGTCATTCTTCAGCGTGAGGTCCATGGCATTGTTGATAGCCTGCATCATGTTCATCTTTGTAGTCTCTCCTGAAATTATTAAGTGTATTTTTAATGTGTGATGCACAGGGTCTGCCATGTACTGTTTTGTGTTGTTACTCTGTTGTGTATTACGCTGTGTTTCTGTTATATAACTTGAGATGTCATACCTAAAATCCCCAAAATTGGTTCATAAAAAGTAGTTTTTAATTATCAGAAATAAGGTCTATAATGCAGTGACTGGAGAGCAGTCAGTGGTGACCGCTTGGGAATTGACATACTTATTATAAAAAAATCAATATATATATTTTTAAATGGGTTAGAAGTGTTTTAATCATTAGCGTTGACGAATTAAAAAACAAATTCAGGAATACTGGTACCTAGATATTATTTTACATCTGATTTCCATGTCTGTGGTGAGTGTGAACATGTCAAGACTATTAAATGTAAGACCTCATCCACCTCACCAAAGTGTTCAGTTAGGCAAAGACATTGTATATATTTTCATTAATTTATTTTGTTAATAACTACATCTTGCAGGACAACTAAGGAAACAAGTTCAATATAGTTACATTTAAAAAATTTGCATTTGGGTTTAAGCTCTGAATTAATGCATAAGTCATTTAAATAGGTATGAAGTAGCATTCTCAAGTTTATAGACGTATAAAAAATAAAGCCAATAATTCATATTGATTGCAAATCACTGCTAAGTGCTATCATACTCCTTATCTTGTTGCTATTTAACGGCACATTATTTTTTAATAACACTAACCTATATCATGTTGACAAATCATTATTTTTATTATTAAAGCATAGGTTATATATTATTCTTAAAAGAGTATGGTGAGGGTAGATTTTAAATTTAAGTACCCTCAAAATTAAAATACCTCAATAATAAAAAGTAATGAACAGTTGATTATAAGAGGGTGTGCTTTCTTAGTTTAGTTGGTGTGAGTTTAAAAAAATTAATAAATAGATTTGTACTGTGTCTTGTAGTTTGTTCTAAAGATTCAAATGTTTGTCTAGTCTAGACAACGATTGAAAGTAATGTGAACAAGAAAAATGCTATGAAGATTTGAAAAGTTTGGTAAAGTACACATCCATCAAGAACAAACATTATTGCGGGTGAGTTTTATTTTTCTAACAATGATGTTTTTAGTACCTAATAAAATAAATATTGAAAAGAACCTTCCTACAATTACTTCACGGTCACGCCATGATCGACAAATACGTATATTTCCTTACCTTCCACAGGTTTATCATTGTCAGGATAATAAATAAAGTGAGAAGACAATCTTTTAGTACAATCGCCAACATTTTTAACTAATCTCGCTAACAAAACACTCTTTTTCGTCACTAAACTGGCCATTTTTAACGATAATGGCGACGTGCGTATTGCCCCCAGTAGAAATGATTAATAAATTAGGTAATACATCTTATCTACAATTGTAATTAGTTGCGCTTTGATTAAAATTCGTTGATAACCGGTCGAATGACGAAACGCTAAACATTCTCATTCTTGTTTTCATTAGTTCATGTTCATGCCGTTCATGATCAATGTTAGTGATATTGTCGTTTCGATATTTTTCCATTTTAAACTTTGTTAACTCCATTTTAAGGGTTAATATCAGCGTTAAATAAACCGTATGAATATTATTTGCATTTGCTTTACAAACAACATGATATAAATATAACTCTATGACAGTTGAAGACACTGTCGTTCATCGTTGTCATTGTCAACTGTCACGTTAAAAGTGTCAGCTGTCAAATGCGAGTGGATGCGTTCATGCCGTGCCACGAGTTCCTAATCGTTATAATAATATTTTTGGTATTATTCGTTTACGGTTCTATTAGGAATTTGATAAAAAATGCCGTTATCGCGTAACTTAACCGTTGTTAAATGGGCTAAGAATCACAAATCTAATTATGATTAAAGGATTTTACCGATTCGTCATCCACTAGACTTAGGTAAATAAATAAATACAAGCCTTAATTACTTTTTAATTCTGCTAAGGGAAATAGAAACTGAAAAAAAAATAAAGAGATATTTAGAGAGATCAGTACATATGTTTTCTACAAATCTTAATATATACCTAACTTAAGAGGTTAATAAGGAAGACAATGCTTTTGAAAATGTTTTCTACAGGCTGTTAAGGACATGAAACTGAAACAAATATCGTGTAAGTTAGTAAACGCGTTTAAAACTGTAGGTACAAATTGCCATTACATTATTAAATTAAAATCAGATCAGAATATTATATTTAATTGATTCACTCGTAATTACCTTGTGGGTATTTTGTAATTTTATCTCTTGTCGTTCTCATTGATTACGAGATTGCAATCGAATTATTTACTGACATTCTTTTTTTCTTCAAATTTATAATTTATAAAAGCAACGCCGAAGATCGAGTTTAGTGGTTAGGTATAGAATGTCTAATCGTAGACGAAAACTGGCTGATAATAAAAACTTTTATTGAATCCATTTGTTTCTTTTTCTATACTTAACTTAATCAATACTTGTTTGGCTTTTTTAATATTCTCCTGTGCAGTGGACCAATCGAATATATAATACGAGAATCCAACCTGCCTCGTTGGCCAAGTGTCGACTGTCGGGGAAGGGGTCTCAAGTTCGATTCCCGGATCGGGCTTTAAAGAAATCTCAATAGTAGCACGAACCAAGGCAGTAGGCACACCCCCTATTACATGAGAATCGTAACATAGTGAAAACTGGGTGTTACATTGTACAGTGGCATAAAGTGCTGTAATGTGCACCTCTGCCTACCCCTTCGGGAATAAAAAGGCGTGATGTATCATGTATCATAATCGAATTTACGCCACGTTTTGCAGTATCCAACCGCCCAGCTACTGCGCCAACCATGCACATAACTTACTTGAAATAACGAAGTAGATACGTATCAATCTTAATAATTATC